AAGAAAGAAAATCTCATCAAAGGATATACAACAGGCAAACATTAATACACACCAAATCCAAATACGACAAACGCAATCTTCATAAAAAACCCTATTGAAATTTGAAAGTCTCCTTTATAAGAAAAAACAACAGGACCACCTAAGTTCAAGTACTCAAAGTCAAAGCTGAGGTTTACCGGTACACATTTTTATACGAGCATTCGACCAACAATCACAGCCGTTAATCTTTCTTTCTCGACACAGATCAACTTTTGATTTTCCAAGGAGAATGGCAATGAGGTGGCTTTCGACCAGTCTAGAGCGATATCGACAGCAAATTTACTTGTTAATCCTTTTTTCTTTTTCAACCTATTCCAGGCTTTCTGACGGAGCAAATCAGGGTCTCAACCAAGAGGTGGAATATCATTAGCAAAGCAACAACAAATTAAGTATAGATAAAATTAAACAGAGAACTGCTTGTACTTTCAACCATCAGCTAAAATAAACAAAAGATGTAGCCAAAACAACCATGAAAGCAGAAAGTTATCATGCATAGAAAATAAATATTAACAAAAAGAAGTGCAGCTCTTAAAAGAAATCATCAGCAGAATACATTTGTTGCAGAATTATCGATCACTTGATGCTCTCTAAAGCTGTATAGCAAGAAATATACATACATCAACAGTAACATAAAACGTTCATAGTCCAGGACCTAGTAAATGTACAGAAATGAACTTTCTAAAAGGCCTCTCATATAACACCATCCTAGATAAAGCTTGAAGGACGGATCGAATTGTTTAGCCTATTACGCCATTCGTCATGCAAGTGCCAGAAAGTTAAGATGCTATATTCAATTTCAAAGCCTCAACCACCTATCAGTAGCATTCATCATCGTCCACTCACAAAAATTTGTTGGTGCACAAATATTTGAAAACAAGATTTCTCACCAGCTGATGTCAGACTTACTTCCATAAATATTGATTTCCACAACGTGTGAGGATATGCTCTTATATTATTAACAGTTTACAGAAAACTTACTTGATGCTTTTTGTCATTGATATTGGTTCTTCCTCTTTACAACAACAACAACAACATACCCAGTATATTCCCAACAGGTTGGGGTCTGGGGGGTCAGTTGTACGCAGACCTTACCCTTGTAATTATACAAGGAGGCTGTTTCCGTAGCGACCCAAGGTGCATTGCGCTGTTTGATATATTTTTTTTTTCTAGAAACTTCACTAATAGAAGAAGCACTAGAATTTAACTGAGCCATTTTGATCTAGTCCATTATTAGCACTATGCCAGGAGAATTGTCAACAATGACTCTTCCAGCTCCATTGGTTCTTCCTCTTTCCCTTCAGATAAGTTTCTTCTGTGTCATCTACAACAAATAACAATAACTTCAATAGGTACTTAGGTATACATGACGTGTCACATAATCTGACAGCACAGACATGCTTTGTTCTCGCTTCAACCATGTTAGACAAAGTTATAGGAGTAAGGAGTGAACCCCCAGGAACCCTTTTTTTGTTTTTTCTTATTTTAAAATTTGGATTTTGTACCTTTTCAAATAGTAGTATGGATTTGGATCTGAACTTTAACATTGATTTTCTTAGTAAAACTAATTTAGACAGTGATATATTACCTTTTCATATAGCAGTATGAATTTGGATCCTCCTGCTTCAAAATAGCATGTCTGTGCTGCTGCTCAACAACAACAGCACACGGGTCAGCAGGTAAGAATAGTATTTCATTCTGAGACATGTCTGAATCACTGAAAACAGAATCTTTTCCGAATGTCACAATGTCAATCTCCTCATCTTCATCAACATAAGAATCTTTTACCTGGAACAAATAATACAAAGGAAAAAGATGTATATTATTAGACAGCAGTAAAGGAAAAACAACAAAAACAAAGGCAGGTTTTAAGTTTTAACATTTAACTTTTACTCACTATTTCTCTTTCAGGCACTAAATCAAATTCATCTTCTCGTTCTACATACTCCTCATTCTCTACAAGCTCTTTGAAATCCAGAGCAAACGAGCTCCATTTCTTGGTGTAGTCCTTGGCCCATATATAAACCGAGCTCATCAATGAGACCGAAACAACAATAGGGCGAATGGGATGCCACGCAAGATCTATCAAAGCTTCCTTTGGACCCTCGAGGATTTTCACAAGATGCCCGGCCAAATCCCATATGTAAATCTTGTGCTCTCCCTTGTTAGCAGAACCTCCAATGACCCATTCACCATCACCACTAAAGCAGGGAGCTTTCCAGTTCATTCTAGTGACCGAACAACCTTAAACTTCTCGAATTCATCTTTCTCATCGAGCTCTTTGCTGAATTCATCCAGGGCCTGAAGCCCGCCTTTGACCGGCAAAAGATTTTCGTAGATTCTGATGGTTCTATCATTTGAGTTTGTCAAGAGATACTGCCCATTCCTACTAAACGAAATGTTCTTGATTGCGCCACTCCCTACAATGGGCACAACGCCACGTACTCGGAGGCTATTATGGTCCACAATAAGTATTTCCCCTTTGGAATTCCCTACATAGACTAAATCCCCATGCTTGTTAAAGCAAGCTGCAGTAGGCGTAAAACCAGTGGATCCATCCGAAAACTTGTTACGTGATGGAAGGGCATTATTGTCATTTTCTGTGTCGGACAATGACAAAGGGAGCACCATAAAGGTAGATGTGCGCAAGTTAACTATCAAAGGGGCTGAAGAAAGGGGACAAACTAAGCAAATAGATGAGGTGGAGGAATTGGGATGAAGACGAGCTTGCAGAGGAGTTTGTTGTATTTTCGCTCGAGCAATTTTCTCTCCCTTGACAACATCCCAAAGAGTCAAGGACTTGTCTGCAGCTGACAAGAGTAAGCAGTGTTCGTATTTGGACCAGCAAACGCTTGTTATGGCAGCAATTGAATCCTTGTCCTTGAATACTTTGGCGATACCTCTAGTTTCAAAGTCCCATACAACACAGCATCCATCAGAGCACCCAGCTGAACAAGAATTTTGTAACATATTAGGAGTGATGAGAATATGAACAGTAACAGTAGAGTTGAAAGCAAACAAACCAAATGGGCTTGGCTAAATCCTTTGATTATATGTGGGGAAACAGAACAAAGATTTTGATTGTGCAACCAAAAATTATAGAAAGGATTAAACTACAAGAAGCACATTTTTTTTTTACGTATTTCAAAGCAATAAGTAACAATCTTGACGTATATAGGATAAAATGCCATCCAAAACTGATAGGAAGTTTAGAAGTTGACAAAAGCCTAGACACAGTGTACATAAATTACGCACTTGCCAAGTCGACCATGGATGAATTTGTAAGACTAAACCGACGAAATCGAAATTAATCACAGCAAAACAATATACCAGCAAGAAGTGTTCCTCGCCTGTTAAAGGCGATGCATGTCACAACTCCATGCTCCAGATATTCCTCTATCACTTCAGGAAAATCTCCCTGTAATGGGTCTGCAAAAACAAACCCAAGCGAGTACCGGGGAAGGAGGGAAGACCAGGTGGCCATGGACGTTTGAGTCGCAGAGCAAAAGTTGATGGATACATTGGGAAAGTTGTCAAAGGCTCAACTTCCCAAAGAGAAACTCTCGGCTGCTTCTCGCCAGCTGTAGACTCATCCCACCCAACCTTCACCCAAAACATATTCGGTTTTTTATATACATAACTTGAAAAAAACAAAAACAAAAACAAAAACAAAAGAAACAAAAAAAAAAGAAAAACTTTAAATATATTTTGTTATTAGAAAATAATTACACAAATTTCGAAATATTCCTTTCATTATCTATATATATCCATATATAATTGTAGGTTATCCATGCAAATCATAAAATTAATCGGGAGAATAGAATGATTTTTGTGATTTCTTTGTCTAAAATATATGATAAAATTCGATCATATAGATTTTTCTTCTTTTTTCGAACTACTGTTACGTTGGTGTTTAAACTCGGCAGTTGTATGTGTATACATTAGTTTGTTCTCACGCTCCCTTATTTGATTATGTTAGGGGATTTGGGTATTACTTGGTTTTGAGGGGGTGAATTAGCTTACCAGAAGATTTGCAGTGAGATAATAATCGAATTCAATGATTGTTCGAAGCAGGTCATTGTCTCTAGATGATCGACAATCGTGAAAACTATAGGTTGATATATATTGATAGCAATCAACACCGAACATCATCGTGTTTACTAGAGGAGCAAAAACTTTTCGATATTTACTAAGCTTCGCAGTCCGTTTGTCCTGTTTGAAAAGTGTTATCTTTCAATGAACCTGTGAGTTCAAATTAAAAATCCGTTTTGAGTTTGGGAGTCAGAGTACAATTTGCTTTTCGGGTTTCTTCATTGGCGTTTTAGTGAAGAATCACTATTTGAGAACAAGAAAAGGAGAGCAAATAACCGAAGCTTCTGGCACTGAAGAAGCCTGGCTGATGCTTATTACGAAAATGCCCTCTCAAGGAAGCCATTAAAGGCGAGCAGAACACGATTCTTGGCATCAATGAATACTTGGAAGAAGTTAGGTATGAGATTGCAGCTCTCGAGGGCAAATAATTTTTCTACTCGTATTCTTACTGCAAAAATTTTGCAAAGGCATTACTATGAAATGCAAGTTCTCGGAGACTTTTAAGTGCTGGAATGTAAAATTGTCTTGTCTTTAAACGAGGGTGTTTGTTTCATAGTTGATTTGTGGTATATTTTTCTCATTGGTTTCTAAATTCAATAAACCAATTCAAGCATGACTCGTTCATTAATGATTTATGTATGAATTTGTTTTGAATGTTGTATTTTCGCAAACGATCTTAGAAAAATAAAGTGAAGTTGTAAGCATAAGTTGTCAAAATCTTTTTGTGTGTTGCTTATAGAGCTGTTAAACGAAACGAGTTGCTCGTGTGCTCGGCTCGATTCATTAAGATTTAAGTTTGGCTCGGCTCATTTGATAACCTGGTCGAGTTCAAGCCGCTTAAAACTCCTTTGTTAACAGATAGGTTAGACTCAGTCCGATAAAGCTATAAAAGATAATTCTTATATAAATTTCTATAGTTCGGCTCGTTAAAATTCAAGATCGACTTGAAATCGGGTCGTTAATCTTGATAAACGAGCTGAGATCGAGCTCAATTTTCGACTTGTTTACTTAATAAGCTGAGCAGAGTTCGACTCGTTAAGAGTTCGAGCTCTAGCCGAACTCGGCTCATTAACAGGACTAGTTGCTTACCATAGTATTATACCATTTGTCATGCGTTCAAATTAACCAATTTTTGATTTAATTAGAGCCAAATTTGACATTTGCTTCCTTGCTTTTTATTTTCGATTTAATTATAACCTATATGACTTTTGCTCTTCCTTCTTGCTTACGACATATACTAGTACTAGATCACTCGTATTATACACAGCTATTAATAAATCTATATCTACAAATATATATATATATATATATATATATATATATGTTATATATATTTGCATTTTAGAAATATCATTGAAATTTTATCATTATTTTATATGAAAGTATACTCATAAGACTCATTTCTTCTTATTATATGATAATTTGTATTTTTATTTCTTGAAAAGATAATTAATTCTACATATCTGATAACAAATTAAAATATATATATTTATGATGTAAGTTAATTTAGTGTTTTCTTTTCATTTAAAAGTTTTAGGCATAGATAAAAGTCTCACATCTACTCGAAATATTAAAAAACAACATAGAACTTATATGCTCGATGTCGTCATATACAGTTTTTTGACAACTTTAAAGATTAAGTAATCAACAAAAGTGTCTATACACTATTGGTGAATAAGTGTGGATGACTCTATAAGTCGAGCCATCTGATGGCTCCATAGCAAAACTGATGAATCGTATAAAATTTTTTTAATAAGTAACTAATAAGAGCGTCTATGTACCATATATAGGCCGTGTTTGGTAGATAGCGGATTAAAGATAAATTAGCGCATTGGACTTAATTGAGAGGCTTGACCCGTCAAATCCACTATTGAGCCTATTTGGTAATTAACTTATTTGATAAGCTTTTTGGGCTCAAAACTCTAATTTAGAAAAAGCTCATTAGAGCAGCGTTTTGGGGTTAGAGGATTCACAAAAAAATCATTTACTTGGAATTTTTAATTTGTATTATTTATTTTACAATCTACATTGATTTATGGTGCTAATAAATAATAATATGTCATCCATATGATTAATTTATCTAGAAAAATGTAAAATTCATAACTTCTTCATCAAGTGTTACTAAATTTAAAAAAATACTAATATTTATAAATTACCAACTAAATAATATTAAATGTTTTAATATATTATTATTAAGAGAATAATGTTTTAATATATTATTATTAAAAATATACCCTAAATAATAAAATGTCCTTATTGGTCATTTTGCAATGTCAAACAGTTATAAGCTTTCAAGTATTTACCAAACACTTATTTAAAAATCGATAATGCAATCCGCTGGTCAAATCAACTAATATAATCGGTTATCCGCTAATTACCAAACAAGGCCATAAATTATTTAATTGGTATCTAGATTTTATAAATAAACATATTTATTCCTTATTAACTAATTAAAATATCTATGTACCTGTAAAAATTATTTGGAAAATGTTATATATAAATAATAAATGTAAATAGAGGTGTACATAACACTTACATAGAGTGGGGTCCACTTGATTTTTTATTTTTGGTCGGCCCCACTCAATGTGAGTGTTATGTACACCCCTATATATAATATTATGTACATATAATATTTCCCAAATTATTTTGGCACTTAGGTTTCTATAAATCAACCTATTAAGCCAAAATAACTAATTGAAAATCTATTAGCGTACATCTTAATTTAATTATAGAAATTAAATCGATCAAATCTGGGCGACTTGATGTTATTGCATCTTAGAAAGTCCTTTTGTTGGGTACGGGATTATAATGAGAAACTTTTTTAGAATGAGCCATTTGCGGTCACCCCAAAATCAAGCTAATCTCTAGGTTAAAATGATAGATAGTATAAATAACTCACCGTTTCAATAATTTTCTACTCACATTTATAATTTAATAATCCATCAGAACGCATCAATGCCCGGTAAACGTCAGAACTAGAATTTGTCGTTATGTACGAATACAAAACGATTCCCCATAAACTGCAATAAACAGAATGAAATTTGTCGTTTCGACAAGGGTTGTTCTGATTCTAACCTACTTAAAAAATGATGTGAATGAATTAGAACTTAAATAAATACAAATTATTCCTAAAATATTTATAGATATAATAAAAAAGTAGGATGAAAATTTTATTTATTATATTTTAAAATGTTTCTCTAAATATAATATTATTAGTGATTATAGATATTTATTGTTATCATTATCATCATAAATAATAGTTATCAGACAACACAGATCGTGATTATAGAAAAACAACATATAACTGATTGTGATTATAATACCATATGTATTTTTCATAGATATTTATAATTTAAACAAATTTAACTTGAAAAAATATTTGTGATATTTGATGAAAATTGGTATTTGTCACATTAATGACACTTCTTGAAACTTTTTTTCCTAAAAATGTTTTGATAATAACATAATTTTTCACATTTGTGAATAACTTAAGACATTGTTACTATTACATAGATAAAATGATATAGAATAATGGAATAAACATGTACATATATGAGCCAATTAAAATTAAAATATATAAATTAAATACTCAAGAAAAAGTATAAAAATGACTCCATTTTGAATCGCATGCATTTAATTTCAAATTAGGTCCACATGTTTTGTACTTTTTTTAATTGGAAAAATAAATTCAAATTTCATTTATTTGCAAAATAAGTCCGGTGGTGATCAGAATGACATGCAAGATGGATCACATTTTGTAAAGTTACAAATATTCACAATAATCGTTAACGTTCATGTCAATAACAAATTACTTATTTTTTGCACGTAATTCATGCGGAATGTAATTTAATATATTTTTTAGAAATGACATTGATAGAATTTTCGTAATATGATAATAAGAGACATCTAAATAATGTTATATAAATTATAAAAGAGTAAAAATTATTTTGATAAAACTAACATTTTTTATATATGATAACAAAAGTAGTTGATGCATTATTGTAAGTAGTATTGAACTTTATCTATTGCAAAAATTTAGTAGCGATAATATATTCTTGTCATTATTTTAAGAAAAAAACATGTGGTATAATAATAAAAAGTTAACAATAGTTAACACATTATGCTAATTTCATTTATAAAAATTTATAATTGCATACTTGTGGATCAATAAAGAGATTGCAATGGAGGCAGTCACTTTAGTCACAAACTTTTAGATGACCTCAAATTTAAGTCTAAATGAAACAAATGATATCAACTAAAAATAAAATAAATAAACAAACTATGTACTATAGGCTCAAACTATTCAATCATTGGATCAAAACCAATATAAAATGCCTCATATATAAAAACAATCCAATAAATAATTGAATGATAAATATATATTGTCTTATTCAGTCGCCATAGTCAAAATCATATTGTCACTCTTTCTCTCCGTTATGGTCGAGACACCCTTACTCTTTCTATTATCAATTTTTTTTTCCTTTCACAATATCATTACACAATATTAGTCTATTTCTTACCGGTAATAAAACCAAATTTAGATGTAAT